TCCAGTGGTGCTGGTTTGAACAGACTTAGCAAGAGCCAGAACTGAGAACCCTAGCCAAGTTTTCTCCAGTTTCTCAAATAGCTCTAGAGAGCTGCTGGGGACTCGTTTCCTTTCTAGGATGCAAGGAGGTAAAAGGTTGGCATCAGTTGGGGGTGGAGGCAGCTCCCAAGCTGTGGGTCCGGGAGCCACTCCCAGGATACTCAATCAGCCAGGCTGGATTGTCCAGTGCTTAGGCCCAACAGTGCTGGGGACCACTGGGCCAGTCTGGTGGTGCTTGGATGGGGTGGGTAGGGGGCATACAGTGCTGGGAATTTGACATGTACCTGGAGCATGCAAGGTATGTACTCCAGAATATATGAGCCATCTCTCTGTAGCCTGACAGCACATGGTTAAAAGGAAGTATTTATCACCCCCCCCTTTTTTTTGGGGGGGGGGGAGGTTGTATTTGTGGTAATTAGGCTATACCAGGTGATGCTTAGGACTTACTCCTGGTTCTGCATTTAGGAACTACTTCTGACAGGGCTCAGGAAACCAAATAGGGTGCCAGAAATTGAACTCAGGTTGGCTGCATGCAAGACAAGAACCCTACCTGCTGTACTATCTTGTTGGCTATTAATCCTAAGCGTTTCAGTGAAATGCTCCTTTTCCTTCCCCCAGAGAAGCTTATAGTGCTCTTATGAGCACCCCTAATCCCTGAATTTATCTTTTTTTCTTTTTGGGTTACACCCAGCGATGCTCAGGGGTTACTCCTGGCTCATGCACTCAGGAATTACTCCTGGCAGTGCTCATGGGACCATATGGGATGCTGGGAATTGAACCTGGGTCGGCCACATGCAAGGCAAATGCCCTACCCACTGTGCTATTGCTCCAGCCCCCCTAATTTATCTTTCATTTCATTTCATTTCATCATCCTGTTATTCATTGATTGCCTCGAGCAGGCCCCAGTAACGTCTCTTTCATCCTAACCCTGAGATTATATTCAAGGCTCTTTAGGAGAATGAGACCCATCATTGTTACTGGTATTTGGCATATTTGGCACGCCACGGGGAGTTTGCCAGACTTTGCCCTGTGGGCAGGCTACATTCAATAGCCTGCAAGTTTGTCCAAAGTAGGAATGAGATGATAATATGTCATAAAAGATGTCCTGATAAGATGTCGCGTGGCCGCGAATGCGGCTGCGCGGTTTCGGGAGCTGGATTTTATAGTCTTACCCACCACCTGGCCCCCTGGCGCCGTGTAATCCCATCAACGGCCAAGACTCAGAGACTATAAAATTTATCTTTAACCTTTCCTTTATGTTATTCATAATTTCCTAAGTCCTGGTTATTTATAAGTCAAACTTCTGGTGATTCTGGACTTTGCATTTGAAGTATATTACTTGCTTTTCTATTTCCTCTATAGCTTTTTCATATTTTACTATAGAGTAGTGTTCTTTGTTTAAACACAGAAAGATCATTAATACTGTGCTCTTAATATTTGGGAGTTGATTGAATCTGAAATATATTTACTCCTGGGCATCTGTCACAATCACTTGACTCTGGCTACAGTTGCTGTGGTTCCTAACACAGCCCACAAAGGGAGGTCCCACTGTGGGACTGGGATGGGCCCGGGGCAAGCAGCAGAGCTACTCCGGCATCAAAATGGAAAGTCTAGAAAGCATAAAAGCAGGGTCTTGATGCAAGACATTATAGTTTAAGAGACAGGACCTCCATGGGGAAAGACAAGCTGAAGTGGACTGAAGGCTTAGTCTGGGATTTACGGTAGAAGCCTTGCTTACCCTCCAGCTCAGAGAACTAAGTTTTAGAATCTTTGTCTCTTACTGCCTTTATCCAAATAACTGCAAGTGTAGTAAGAAGTAAACCGAATTGTTTAATATGTACAACTATAGGGAAAGAGAGACAGCAATATAGATGTCGCTGGGAGACTGAGTGTCTTCTAGAGTTAATTCACAAAGAGAATTGCCTCCACCAAAACGTTTTACCTCTGTAAATGATCAATCACACCTACATCCCATCCTGTAACTTGAAAACCCTCGGATGTGCTATAAGTATGCTAACAGCTCTTGTATTAAATGGACCATTTTGACCATCAGTCGATGGTTCCCCATCTTTTTGTTCCTATGTTAGGGAGGCAGGGAGATGGCTTTTGGCCACTGCAGCCCCACACTTTTTGAACTTACACTATCTCTCTGCCCCCAGAAGTGCTTACTCTTATCTTTGCTCTACAGAAGTGGACAATGAGGAAGAGAGGGAAGGTCACTTACCCAGAGCCATACAGCCAGGATGTGGCAGAACCAGGAGTGACAGCTACAAGATTGACATTAATGCTTTGCTCAGGCTCAGAGATGGTGATGATGGGAAAGTGCCCCAGACTGGAGAGATTCTCAGGGCCCAGCGCTGAAATGTGAGACTATGGCAAGAGGAGGAGAGCACCGAGAATGTTGATGGGAGGATTGGCTGCTTCCACCAAGAGCCTGCTCTGAGCCAGGTGCTCCTCATGGGGGCGGAGGGGGGGCGGGGAGAGGAGAACTTCCTGCATCTTCACAATCAGGAAGGAATTCTAGTTTCTCCCACCCCATCTGAAAGTAGGACATTCCAGTTTGTGGCTAATTTTTTTTCTGGGGGGGAGCGGGGAGGGTCTTGAGACTCCCTTATATTCATTTATATGTAAAAATTGAGTATTCTAAATCCCACAAACCCACCAAACAGGATGGTGATGGTCTGCTTTCATGGGGGCGGGGGCAGGGAAGGGGAAACGGGACACCTGTGATTTCAACCAGCCAAGACCACAAGAAAAATTCTGAACCGGGGAAGGGCCACTTGGTAGGGAAAGGGAATTCCCAGGTTTCTGAGTCAGGTCTTCTCACCTCCCACCCATATACCCCAGAGCGGGTGTGTGTTCCTTCAAGGAAGGAAAATGGCCTTAAAGTCCTGCAGAATCTGTGGGAGTTGGGGTACAGCTCAGCAGTACAGTACTTGCCTTTCATACATGCTTGATAACTCCTATGACAACGAAAAGGGGGGAGAGAGAGAAAGAGAGAGAGAGAGAGAGAGAGAGAGAGGTTTTGGAAAGGGATTTCCAGATGCGGAGTTCTTAGACAGACAGACAGAGATATCTTTAGGAAAGAGACCTCAGAATTCTTATATGGGGGACCTTGCCATACAGAGTACATCAGGAAGGACTGGAGAGATGCCACACAGGTTGTAGGCAAAAACTGGTCTAGTGTCAAGGGATTAAGAAAGAGCCAGGCCTGAGAATACCCTCCATGGTTTGTCAGGCAAAGTCCAGAGTTAAGGTGGACTGAAGTTGCCAGGAAACCAAGCCTCTTCTCTCCCTGTCTGCACCTGCCTAGGACATCACTGGCTTGTTTGTTTTGTTTTGGGGGCACACTGGGTGGTGCTCAAGACTAACTTTTGGATTTGTGTATGCTGGGCACCATATGTCATGCTGGGAATGAACTTCGATCAGCCATGTGCAGGGCAAGCACTCTCCCTGCTGTATGATCCTGTACTATTGCTCTGACCCCAGGATGTTACTTTTTCTTTGTGACAGTGACTTAGATCCTCTAGACAAGAAGTATGTTCTATTTTCACTATTGAGGTGATTTCCTTCAGCAGATTTTGAAGCAGTTTATCACCAGATACCAGTGTCTCAAGTCTAAGTCTTTGGTGTAAATGAGCAAAAACTATTTGGGAGGGACTCATATCTCTAAAGAAGCCAAATGAACCCCCCGACCCCATCCTGAAAGAGAATGCAAAATTTTTATTGTAAAATTATCTCTGGGGATCTGAGAGATAGTATAGGAGTTAAGACTTGCTTTGATTTCAGTCCAAGCCCCCACTTTTATTCCCTTTTATGTGGATAAGAACCACAAGTGACCCCTCAGCACAGAACTGAATGTAAGCTCTGAGCACCAAAAGATGTGGCCCCAAAACCCAACCTTTACAAACCCTTTCCTCAAATTACCTTTGAGAACCATAGAGATAACACAGTGGGTAAAGCTCTTTTGCCTTGTTTGTGGCCAGCCCAAGTTTGATTCCTGGCACCCTATATGTTTCCTTGAGCCCTGTCAGGAGTGATCCCTTGAGTGCAGAGCCAGGAATAAGCCCTGAACAAAGCTGGGTGTGACCCGAAAACCTAAATCAACTTTGACGGCCCAGAGATAGTATAGCAGTTGGGATGTAACCTGGGTTCAGATTCACAATGGCCTCCTGACCATGGCTGGGTGGCCCTGGCACTATGGTGGTGGTGAGGTCCCCTTCACCATAGGGTCCTCAAAACACCACATCCTTATGCCCTTGTGTTGAAGCTTGAGCTTCGTTAGCTGGTAATCTGTAGATACTGGTATTCTTGGACTGGTATCCCTGGGCTCAGGGCACCCTGAGCACCACTTGGGAGCACTCCCACAACAGAATAAAAGATAAACTTGATTTTTTTTGTTTATTTGTTGTTTTTAGGCTACATCTGTCTTTGCTCATGGCTCTGATCACTCTTGGCAGGATTAGGGGACTGTATTGGGTGCAAGGGATCCAATCCAGGTCAACCACGTGCAAGGCAAGCTTTACCCACTGTACTATCTTTCTACGCCCCTTCCCCCAATAAAACGCCGATAAACATGAAGGAGATGTGATGTTCTGAGAATCTATCCCTGGCGCCAAAACAGCCCCAGTAAGCCTGTGGGGACCCTCGCAGTAAGGAGTGCTTGAGGGTTCCCAGGCGCTCATGACCTTGAACCAAACACCACTGTCTGACAAGGATGATCCCACCACCTGTTTTTCCTAGAACGTTGCTCGGAACTATGAGCGGGATGGATTTCCACTTTTTTCCCAGCACGTGCCGAGAATGGAATCCGCGGATTTTAGCGCTTGGGTGCAGCCCCACGGCCTCGACCCCGCGGCCGAGGGCTCTTTAAGGGAGGCCCCGCCCCCGCCGCACCCCGCCCCGGCCCGCCCCGGCCCGCCCCGCCCCGCCCCTCCGGGTCCGCGCGGGCGCAGCAGGCTGCCAGCAGCGGCCGCTCGAGCTCGGCTTGCTAACCCCGGGCCGCGGGCGCGATGGCGGGTTCCGCGCTGAAGGTCGCGGGGCGGTGGCTCAGCCAGCGCAGCGGGCCGGGTGCGCCCCTTCTCCTCCGGCAGGTGCGAAGTAGCGGGAGCGGGAAGCGGGGTGACCGGGCACTGGGAGGCGGCAGGGAGCGGAACTCCCGGGTCCTCTGAACGAGCACGGACGCGCGGGGCTTCCGCAAAGGGACTTGGAAGTGGACTCTTGGGTCCTTGAAAGCGGGGAGATCTGGGCGCACCCCGGGTTTGGAGCTGGACTCCTTTACAGAAGGGGTGCCGGGAGCCCCGATTTGGGGATATCAGGAAGTTGGGACCCCCTTGGTCCTGCTGGAGGGAGATGCTGGGGAAAGGAGGAGCGGGAACTTCTGCTTCTGGATCCCCCGCGGGGAATGTCTGGCTCGGGTGTGTGTGGGCGTCTCACCTGCCCCCCACCCCCGGCTCAGCTGTTCGAGCCCACGAGCTGCACCTACACGTACCTGCTGGGCGACCGCGAGTCCCGCGAAGCCGTGCTCATCGACCCGGTTCTGGAGACGGCGCCGCGGGACGCGCAGCTGGTCAAGGAGCTGGGGCTGCGGCTGCTGTTTGCGGGTGAGTGCGGGGGGCGCCCCGCGCCGGGTGGGGGCTGGCTGTGACCCTCCCCCCCTCCTCACCAGCGCACTCGGCCCGCCTCTTTTCCCCCGCAGTGAACACGCACTGCCATGCCGACCACATCACCGGCTCGGGGGTGCTGCGCTCGCTGCTGCCCGGCTGCAAATCGGTCATCTCCCGGCTCAGCGGGGCCCAGGCCGACATGCACATCGAGGACGGCGACGCCATCCGCTTCGGGCGCTTCGTGAGTGGAGTCCGGGGGCTGGGGGGTCTGTGGGGGGACCGCTTCCCGCCCCGCCTGAGTTCCGGGATTGGGAAGGGACTTCGGGCCTGGCTGCTGATTAAAAATGGGAGGGGCGCCGGGCCCAGATACCTGGGCGGGTGTGTGTGACCAAGGTCAAGCCCCATAAATCAACAGTGTTTCGAGGTTCCTGAAGCTTTGGGGTTTGCGCCTCCAGGAATTCCCGGGGTGGGACCGAGATTCTTGGTTGTAAGTTGGAGCGTCACCGCACAAGGGGCATAAGGATTGGCATTTGTCAGCTGGTGCCCGCCATAAGGAAGGGCCGGGAGTGTGGGGATGCGGGGGCTCTCGCAGCTACTCGCTCCAGGAACCTCTTGCTTTTCTGAGCCCCAGGCTGGTTGTTGCCTCACTTGCCAGAATGGCCAGAACGTTCCTACCGCCTCTTTGCAACAGTAGCAATCGGCAGGGTTTCCCCACCAAGTGGCAATATAGGGGTTGCGGTGGGGTGGGGACCTCTGACAGGATTTAAAAAAAAAAACAAAACTCCAGAGCTAAAGGTGTAGAGAGTTGGGTAAACTTTGGACACAGAATGTCAGGTGCCTGGTGAGCACTGGGTCTCCAGGTTCCAGGTTGGAGCCTTTTTTTTTTTTTTTTTTTTGCTAATTGGAGTTCCATTCATCTGAGTCAGGGAGTCAGGACAAGGAGCAAAAACCAAGGGCTATGTGTGTGTGTGTGTGTGTGTGTGTGTGTGTGTGTGTGTGTTGTGTCTCCCCAGGGATTAGCCTCAGTGGTTAAGGGTTTATATCTTAAGCCTTTTCTGAAAGCAGGTTGAAGAGACCACGGGCATTGTGCCTTTGTGTGCCGTGTGAATAGAAGCAGGTGCTGGTTTGGGCTTCCAGGATGGAGCACGCTCTGGGGCAGTAGAGATGCTGGGGATTGGGTGACCTGAGCCATTGTAAAGCATGGAGGGCATTTGCCTTGCATGTCACTAACCCGGGTTCAATCCCTGGCGTCCCATATGATTCCTGAGCACAGAGCCAGGAGTAATTCCTGAGTATCACCAGGTGTGACCTAAAAATCCTGAAAAAAAAAAAACAGGAATGCATGTCAAAGGAGCTCTTTATTAAACTATTAAATAGTATGAGTGATGTTTACAATATGTGGAGATTGAAAGAGTCGAAGGAGTAGAGGAGATATGGTCTGGTTTTTGTTTTTCTTTTTCTTTTGAATCTGGGAATACGCCACACATTTTTGTTGTTGTTGTCATTCTAATAGTGCAGGAGCTGGAACTCAGAGTCTCAGACATGCAAGGCAAGTGTTCCACTGTGAGCTGCAGCCTTCCACAGCTCCCCAAATGTTCCCTATAGGGCAAGAGAGAGGACAGGGTTAAGATACTTGTCTGCATGCAGCTAACTCTGGTTTGATCCCCAGCACCACACAGGGTTCCCTTTAGCACTGCCAGCAGTGACCCCTGAGCAGAGAGCCAGGAGCCAGAGAGCCAGCAATGCCCCTGAGCATTGCTGAATGAGTCTTAATCTCCTCTCCCCAAATTTAACATATAAATATCCAAATCAATGGCTAAAACATTCCTAGATCCCCCTGCCAAATAACCTGCCAAATTATATCAGATAGAAAGCTTGTAGGATCCCAGGGAAGGTGCAACACATAGCACAGAAAGCAGTATATATTTTGAAACAGCTTTCTGATAGAATTCATGAAGTCATCTGTTTCAGGTGAGATGTACAATTCAGTGGCATGGACTCTGTTCACACTTTACCTTTTGGGGCACATGATACATTTCCACTTGAATTTCAGTTTTAGAAAATACCTTCTGGGGCTGGGGCAGGTACGGCATTTGCCTTGCATGCGGCCAACCCGACTTTGATCCCTGGCATCCCATATTGCATCACCAGGACGAATTCCCAAGTGCAGAGCCAGAAATAACCCCTGAACCTTGTTGGGTGTGACCCAAAAAAACAAATCAAAACAAAAAAGAAAATACCTTCTTCCCTCCAAGAAGCCCTCCACCTCTTTGCTGTCATGCCAGTGAGCCCCACCCCCCTTTGTCTTCTCCAGTTTTGGGCCAACACTCAACTATGTCCCCTCTCTATATATTTGCGTTTTTTTTTGGGTGGGGTGTTATTTTGTTTTAGGGGCACACCTGGGGATGCTCAGGGGTTACTCCTGGCTTTGCCCTCAGGAATCACTTCTGGTGGTGTTCAGGGAGCCAGATGGGGTGCCGAGCATCCAACCCTGGTCAGCTTCGTGCAAGGCAAGCTCCATACCACTGTACTCCCTCTCCGGCCACTATATTTCCTTATTGTGGACATCTCTTTCCTAGAGACAGAATCGCACTGAAGGAGATCCTTAGGTAACAGGCTGTGCTCTCACTGTGCGCCCAAGTTGTAACCTGGCTTTTGTTTGTTTCCTTTGCATTGCCAAGTCACACTCCAGGGAATGCGCATGCGTTCACACACACACACAATTTTGTCTGGCTGTATGTTATGTTTTCTTTTCCCATGAATATAGACCTAGGAGAGGAGAGGCCAGAGCCTATGAAACCTACGTTGAGCAGCTGCCAGGCTGTTTTCTCTCATGGGAAGCATTCTCTTGCCCTTGGTTGCTTCCTCCATCTCCTTGCCAATACTGTCATTCCTTTTGTTTATGAAGAAATATGGTGCATTGATGAAGCAATGTATGCAGGGTTTTTTTTTTTGGAGGGTCACACCCGGCGATTCTCAGGGGTTATTCCTAGCTCTGCACTCAGGAATTACTCTTGGCTGTGCTCAGGGGACTATATGGAATGACCATACGGAATGCCGGGAATCGAACCAGGGTCAGCCGCATGCAAGGCAAACACCCTACCCCTAACTGCTGTGCTGTCATTCCAGCCCCCCCCTCTTTTTTTTTAAATGTGTGCAGTTTTTACCCACGTGCAGAGTTCAATAGCCGCTGTGGAATGTCCATCTCCCTGATGCTTCCTTGTCCCTCCCTTTGACTATTAACCGCCTGTCACAGACCTTCTTTTTTTGTTTAATTGTTGACCTTACTGGTATCTATTTAACCATGTTGCTAACCCACATTTAACCATGCATGACTATTACTCTCTCCTGCTGGTTTTGTAGCTTCTTCATTTAACTGGATACTTTCTGTAATTGTTTCCTTCTCATTGGTATCTTTGTAATTATTTTAAAAGGTACATTCCTGAAGGATTGAAAATCCTTGGGGACAGAGCTATCTAAGAGCAGGTAGGGCACTTGCTTTGTACAGGGCCAGCCTGGGTTTGATCCCTGACACCACATCTGCATTCCCAAACCCACCTAGGCACAGAACCAGGAGTCAACCCTGAGCACTGGTGTGTGTGACCAAACCAAAAAGAATTGTGAATTCTTAAACCTGCAATACAGAATCCCAATTAGAATTCTTTGGAAGGTGAACATTTAAGATAAGTCATTAAAAGGGACTGGAGCTATAGTACAGTGGGGAGGGCATTTGCCTTGCACGTGGTCAACCCAGGTTTGATCCCAGCATCCCAGAAGGTTCCCCAGGTACCACCAGGAGTAATTTCTGAATGCAAAACCTGGAGTCAGCCCTAAGCATTACTGGGTGTGATGCGCTGCGGCCCCCCGGACCCCCCCGCAAAAAAAAAGTCAATAAATGTCTCACATCTAGGGAAACACTAGGAATTAGGAGGAAATTGGCAAACTTTTTCTAGAATTGATTGTTTTGTTGACTTTAAGATCTTGAGCGCAGAGCCAGGAGTAACCCCTGAGCATGCAAAGTGTGACCCCCAAACAAAACAAAACCAAAAAAAGAATAGTTGTGCTCCAGTTAAACCTGCTTTTCTAAAATTTAAATTTTATATAATTTTCGGAAGTCATCACAGGTCATTCCCCCCTGCCCACCCTTTAGGTTTTGGGACCACAAATCCAGGGGTCAAAAAGCAACACCTCGATCCCTGTACTAGCTCTCCGGCCCCGTGACAGATGATTTGGACTTTGATTTTTCATTTCAATGGAGCAGTTTAAAAACCACTCTTAGGCCTCAAGTCTTCCAGAGGTGACAGGCTTCGTTTTTCTGCCCGTGGTGGTAGAGCAGTTTATTGTTCTTCCTTTCTCCTTTTAATTTTTTGGGGCCACACCTGGCAGTGCTCTCGGCCAGAGATCAAACCTGGGCCTCTTGCGTGCAAAGCCTGCGTGCCGCCCACTGAGCCGCCTCCCCAGGCCAGCCTCTCTCCCTTCGCTGGCTGGTTGTAGTTAACCACAGCTCAGCCCAGAGTGAGTCACCAGGAGGCCTTTACCCTCCATTCCTACTGACTGACCCTTTTGAACAGGGTCTGTCTCCCTGCAGTGGAAACTATCAAATTATTTCAGATCCCAACCCTTATTTCTCACCAAAATCCAAATGGTTTTATTACAGGAATTTTTTTACTTTTTTTCCCCTTGTTTGTATTTGTTTGTTTTTTCCCTTCATTATTTATTTGGTTTTTATAGAGCTCACTCAGCAGCTATTCCTGGCTCAGTGCTCAGGAGTGATCCCTGGTGGTGCTCGGGGGTCACTACATGGTGCTGGGACTGTAACTACGGGTTGCTGCACGCAAGGTGTCTCTGGCTTGGAGTCAGTATCTTTTATTTCATCCTTTTTTTTCTCCTGTTGGGGCCTCTCCGGTGGTACTGGGGTATGGGCTGGCAGTTCTGGGGGTTCCCAGGCCCATCCCTGTGCGGTACCTGCATTCAGCCTGGTCCATACCTAGTGATGTATGTGGTGCTCAGGATTTATTCCTGGCTCTGTGCTCAAGGATCACCCCTCATGTTGCTCAGGGAACCATATGTGGTGTTGGGGAGTCAAAGTCGGCTTGGTCACAAGCAAGGCAAATGCCTTCACCCTTGGACTCTCAGGCTCCACAATCTGTATTTGTTTGGGGTTCACACCCAGCTGTGCTCAGGGCATATTCCTCAGGGATCACTCCTGGCAGGCTTGGGGGACCATACAAAGTGCCAGGG